TGCTGGCCCGGCATGCCCTGCTGAGGTCTTCCGTTCGGCATCATTCCAGGCTGGTTCGGGAAGTTGGGCGCACCGTCCAGGCGTGGTCTCTTGGAGGGGGAAGGGGCGTTTTCACCAGAGCCAGGCGACGAGGGGCGTTGGCGGTTGCCATCCATGTCCGAAGGGTCTCGCTGCATCTGGGTTTGCTTCGCATGCTGCTGAAGCATTTGCATGGCCTGGGGGCTGTAGGGGGAATTTGGGTTAGCAAACCATACACATGATGAAGGGAGGCACGAATCTGTAAAGCCTCACTTGTTCTGATTATTCGCCATGGCGGCCCGTGCCAAGTTGCCCTTTTGCATGTTCATGGCCATACCGCCATTTTGCATGTTGCGCATCATCTGGGAGTGATATTGCTGCTGGGCGGCCATGCCGTCTGGGCGCATCTGGCGGAGAAGTTCTTGCTGTTGGTTCTGTCGCATGCGAGATTGCTGCTATTCAGCTCGGTTAGTGATGATCCAGACATAGACAGAGAATCGCCGACGAATAACGACATACCTGAGTATGGCTGACATATTGATTGACGGGACCGTTGCCACCCTTTGTCCGTTGCGCGTGGAAGATGTCCCAGAAGAGGCAGAACCATTCGTACAAGAAGGATGATTCTGAGGCAGGCATGGGCAGCTTGGGGGCCGGAAGGTCATCAGGGAGCTTCGCGTCAATGTCGTCTTTGGAGTCGGTATCCATGGGGTCGTCACCGAGACCATTGCCGATGAGATTACCGTTCTCGTCCCTTCGGCGATTGGCACCGTCCTTCATGACATTCACTTGGTGGTCTCCATTAAGGAGGGATCTAGCGCAATCAAACATTTGATGGCGGAGGAAGTACTCATAGATGTAGGTGTTGAGCAGAGTGCGCTGGCTCTCGGTGGGCATGGTCATCTGTCGTGGACCACCGGCGACTTGGGGAGCGACTGCGCCATTATTCATCATAGGCACGGGCGCGCCGACAGGGCCACCGCCCATGACGTTCATGTTGGCCAGGTTGGGGTTGACGTTGGCGTTCATGATTGTGAGCCGGGCTGCAGACAAGCGTCTGCCCGACGAGATGGGGTGAGGTCGATGCGATGGATAAAGGAGAAGCTGATTGAAGGATGGTGGTTGTTCGGAAGCGAAGAAAGAGTGTCGATGTCGTCAAAAGTTTGTCGGTCAGCCACCTTGTGGTTGGAGGTGGGAGTGTCGCAGAGCGTGTACGTGGTTACGCGGTGCGCTAAAAAGCCGGCTGGCGGCAAAGTCGTGTCGGATTCAGCGGTCGGGCGCAAGGGTACAAGGAGCCTTCAGTTGGACGGATAAGAGAAAGGCTGGGGAGTGCAGACAGAGGCGCGCGACAGATGGCGGGATGCGCGACCAGTGACGATGGCGGTGGTGAGATATGGTTTGGTACAGAGGAAGAAAAAAAAGAGTCGAAAGACGTGGCAGCGACAGAAGCTGTGGCGGATTTGGGTTGGAGGGGGTAGGAGGATTGATGCGAGGGCGAGATGTTGAAGAAGGCGGAAGGGCGACGGGATGGGCCACCAAAGGCAGTTGCAGGTGAGGGAGTGGGACTTTGAAAGGAAATGGGAAGAGTGGAAAGATGAAAGACAGGAGGAGGGAAAGCAGCGCGACTCGGGGGTCGGGGGTAGGAAGACCTGGTGTTTCTGGCTCTTGCTCTGGCTCTTGCTGTGGCTCAGGGTATGGCAGTGTGGCCCCTTCTGGGTGGCTAGGTATTTGATTTGGATTTGGGTTTGGCTTTTGGGGGGGGGGGGGAGGGGGAAGGAGGGTTCCTCGCTCTCCGGGGGGGAAGCAGCGTCGAAGTGAAGGTGGATGTGGACCACCGTGGTTCTGGGCGGTGGTGTTACTGCTAATAATGGGTGAGGTGAGTGAGATGGTCGGTCTGTAAGGTCTGGCTTCGTCGGTGTTACCAGCTGTGGGGAATGGCGGGATGTTATTCCGTAGCGAGGGTCGACTGACCGGTCCCTAAAGCCGCGGTCGCTAGGCCGATCAGGCAAGGTCGGTTTGAAGATGGACGAGTGTCTCGCGGGGCGCGAGGGCAGTGACCATGAATCAGGACTCGTTAGAGTAACAAACACGTTATCGAGACCACGTTGGCATTGAAGATGTGATCGGCATGCGAGGCCATCCAATGTCCAAGGGGTGGAAGTGGATAGGTGATTTGAGGAGGAAAGGGAAAGGCGGAAGTAGAGATCGGAGGAAGCGAGAGGACGAGGGAGAAAAGAGAGGGGCGCCTTGGGTTAGAGGGCAAAGCACCTACTCCGTACCTTAGGGTGTTTAAGTGTTAGTCGACAATGCTTGAATGCAGAAAAACACAGTCGGGGTGGAAAGGAGGACGGGAAGACCAGGACGGGCGGGAGTAGGAGAGTGGAAAGGATGGGGTTGGGATTTTCCCAATTTTCGGGGCATGCGACGCTTGGGCAGGAGGCGGCATCTCTACCTATTCACCTCAAACTTCAGATTCTAGAGACCTCACGAGCACTGAACGAAGTACGCCCGTAGGCCGCTATGGGTGCCAGAAGGTAGCCAGTCCTGTAAGAAAGGTGAGGTGCCCGGCACGAGGTGAGGCGCGCACCCGCGCCGGGCATGTCGCATATCTCAGAATGAGCTGCGAATATCTGAGACCGCTTGTTGCCTGAGGCCACATGCCAAATCGTCAAAGGCAAAAAATCGACAATCACCTCCAACTTGCGTGCTTGCTTTCCAGCTCTCCGGGTACTACTATCATACCTAGGCGAACTGAAAGACTCCGAAGGAGCCCTCAAGCTTTAGGGCGGTAGGTACCCGTTAAGGTACGTGCTTGGGCTTGAAGCTTCAGAGGGCTCTGGACTACCTTAGCTATCTAACCTTGGGCTCCCACCAACCCACGTTAAGGTCCTTTACCTTCCCTGGAGCTAAGGTAGTGATCTTAAGTACCTTATCTCATCGGCATGGGAGCCCGGGGTGCCATGCTGGAAGTCGCGTTGTGGCACGTCGAGCTTATGACCCGGTACCGGGTGTTAGCTGCGCGCCGCTTCCACCAGCATACCCAATCTTCACACTTCTGCTGACGTCGCATCTTGAATGGGCCGCACCAAAAAACGCGCTCCATCAAACGTCTCAGTCAAAATGAGATCCTGTCCGGCATAAACGCGTCTGCCCTCCAGCTTCTCGTGGCGTGAGGTGGAGAGCTCTGACAGAGACTACCATTCACGATCCGCCCAAGGCACTTGGTATCCGACATCCCGCCTCCCGCTCCCTTTTACCGGTTTCTTGCTCTGAAGCTGACTGGAGGCTCCATGCACATCTAGAAGCATCGCCTCAGGTGTATAAGCTTCTTTGACCTGTCTGTTACGTGAGGCACAATGTCAAACGCATCTTGAACACGCCGCGCGACACGAGTACGACCAATGACTCCAACGTCGCCTGGGATGCGATTGTTGTATTTCCTATATAGCCTTGTTCCAATCAATGCGCTCACCTGCTTGTGAATAGAGAACCGAGGTGGTTCGTTCCATGCTCCCTCACGCTCAGATGTCTACCTATGTACCGGCAAGTCCGTTGCACGTTGGCTTCTGCAACACCGATATGACGCATTGAGGCCTGGGAATCGAAAGGGGCTTGTTCTCTCCATCCGGCATTGAGCCAAAGAGTAATTGTGATCATTCGCAGGTTCTCTGAGCCTAAGTATCCATAATTAACTAACAGCTTCAGTCGGGAAATGAAAGGCAAGCCATGGGCCGTGGCACGGACCTCTCGAGCAAGCTTAAGGTTCCGTATAATCATCTCGACAGGAGTAAACTTGAAAACATTTGATCCAATAAACTGAAGCAAGAGCAAATGAACATTAAAGACTCGCAAATTGGTGTCGCCTGGCAATCCTGCTTAGATTGCATACTTGGTTGCCATGTGTGTAAATTTGCTGCTTATACTCTTTTTGCGAACTGCCCGGCTTTGCTGCTGCTGCACACGGCTTCTCCGTACTGTAACCATTTTGTCAGAAGGATCCGGGCACTTTCCATTGCCGTCCTAAGTGCCCCATGACGGGTCCCGTAATGCCCCACATTTCCCGAAGATCGACCGGCCGTCCTGAAGGCAGGTGTTGATCATACCTTCCTTACCTTCCGCACATGCTACAAGAAGCCCTCATATATTCCCTCAAGTCAGTTGCTGTCACCAGAAACAGCAGGCCGCCCTCTAGGTCGGTGGTTCAGGAAAAACCGGCTGGATGGTGGGATTGTTCAAGGTCAACAATCAATTCGCCCACAGCCTACTCGGCGACAGGCTACGAGTACTCGAGTTCGACTCCAAGCATGAGCACCAAGAGACGTAGCCACACCGGTGGTGAAATCTCTTTTTCTTAAGCGCTCACTGAATGAAGTTCAATGCTTACCGTCGGTCTATTGGGCAATTCCATGAAAGTCAACTTGTCTCGAAACTCATTTCAAGGCATGCGGGAATAGAGGCTGAATCGCCGCAAACACAGCTTGCCCGAAGGAACTTTGAAAAGAACCACATCTACGTATAATCATGTGCTTGAAGACGCCCAGTTCAGTAGATGATCTTCTCCCTAACTAGTCTGACACACCCTTGTACCCAATTATAGCAATATCATATCAACAATCGCCTTCAACTTCGGGATTTCACGTTGGCAGTGGTGGCTTTCGTATGAACAAGTCTCTTTGATATCGTGTAGGTCATGTCTGCGGCTTAGGTGCTTCACCAGTTGTCTCCATCTTGTTATATGTGATATACGCCTGGCCGCGTTATTCACCTACTTCATGATTCCATGGAGGTGCATTTGGCGCATCATCATGAGCGATGAAGCTGGCCTCGCCCTCCATCTCCACCAGCGAACAGGGAATTGAGGCTGCGCGCTATTTTCCAGACTTCCATCGACAGATAGTAAATTTGTGTCGATGCGGGGCAACCCATTGTAGCACGTCTGGTTATGGTAAAGAACAATGTTGCGTGGCAAGATGCAATCACATCTAGTCATCTTCGGGGGGAAGCTCGTCGTCAATGTACCGCACTAATGACACCCTCATCTCGGTCGTGTCATGGCCTCGCAGAACGTCACTGATGAAGTGCGCTTCGACCTGCATCTGCACCATCTCAAGAGCTCCCCGCAAGACTCCACAAAAGATATTGGAGTACCAGAGCTCATCCTGCGCTCGCTCGTCATCGGGCAGCTCGACAAAGTCTGCGAGAGGGTTTTCGTCAAACACAAGCGAGAACTGTTTGTTGTCCGTCGTCCAGTTGGTCACCTGTGGCGTGATGTTTAGAAATATCTTGAAGCCGACCTAGTGCGCAATGGTCAGCATGCAGGCTCAATACTTTATGAGTCAGGGAAACTGTACTCTTGCAATGACGTCTGCGGTCTCGCGAAAGTTTGCGCATCTCTTCATTGTATTCGACTTTGCCAAATAATCCTCAATGAGACGAAGGCCGATGTTGTATCCCATCTTGTCCAGCTGCTTGTTGACCTCGACATAGTCGCTATCGTAATCTTTGCACAACTGCGCAACAATTGTTCCGTAGGTGAGGGTGACGAGCTCGGCGTTGACTTTGTCTATGCGGGTTCTACAATCAAGCACGTCAGACTTGTTCGTTCTTGGGCATTCAGGTGCCACGCAACGTACTTCCAGATTCTGCTGCATTGTTAGCTTCTGTCTACCCACGCCCGGGTCTGGCTAGAAAACGCACTCCTCTCCCAAGCGGGTTGCCTTGCTTGCGGCCATGATTCCTCGCAGACGCCTGCCAAATAGTAAGGGAGGGAAGTATCGCTGGCGTCGGACGCCTGGTACCGGGCTGTGTCGCGGAAGTGGCTGCCGCCTCGGATCGCAAGCACGTTGCGTCGTTCACGTGGGTTGTCTGGAGCCGTTCACGTCGTACAGTGAAGTGCAGTCGCAAGTCTTCGATATCGGTGGATACGGCGGTCGCAAGGGCTATTGCCGTCGTCGGTTGTCGCACTGATCGGAGTTGGACGAGAGGCTCGAATGAACCGTGAGGTGCCAGCTGGTGTTGGTGGACATCGATGAGGTTGAAGATAAGATAAGCTTGTGGGAAGTGCAATGAAAGCTGGGCACGGATACCTACCCAAGAGGTAATTTACGCACTGCTAGGTATGGTAGTGTACCTCGAAGCAAGGTATGGAGATGCACCGAGGTGGACTCTCCGGGTCCTCTGAATCGAGGTCCCACCTTTAGCTCGGGGATCGGCAGAAGCAAGCTCCGTCCACATCCCAACCTCGCATGGGCCAATGACCTCAGCCAACACATTTTCTCTAGTCAACAACCGCTTGCCCGATTCAATTGACATTCAAATCGACGCGAATCAGCACGATCCACGCCATACGACGATCCTGCTTCGAGTAGAACACCCACGAGCCTCGAGAAACACGTTCGACGACTGCAGCCATGTCTGCTGAGAAGAGACCGGCGGATGACGAGCTCGGCGCAAGCCAGATGATCGTCAAGCGTCAGAATGTGGGATCTTCAACAGGAGCTTTAGCAAGGCTGAACGCCTCGGGAAAGAGCAGTGCGTTAGTGCAGGCGGTATGCGACTACTCTTCATTGCCAATTGGAAATTTACTGACGGCCTGGCCGACAGACACCGCGCACAAGTAACCTGCAGGCACCGGTCATGGAACTATCTGGTCACTCGGGCGAGATCTTTGCTGCGAAATTCGACCCAACGGGCAATTTCATTGCCTCAGGATCTATGGACAGAAGCATTTGTCAGTTTAAATATCTTCTTATCGCTGGCGAGGTGAAACTAATTCGCGAGTAGTGTTGTGGCGAACGTATGGGGACTGCGAAAACTACGGCATTCTTAACGGCCATCGAGGCGCAATTCTAGATCTCCAATGGTCGAGAGACTCCAAAATAGTCTTCTCGGCTTCGGCAGACATGCACCTGGCAAGTTGGGACCTCGAGAACGGAACAAGAATACGAAGATACATCGGCCACGAAGAGATCGTCAATACAGTGGACCTCAGCAAACGAGGCGAGGATATGCTAGTTAGTGGAAGTGACGACGGCTCTATCGGCTTGTGGGATCCGAGATCAAAGAACGCAGCAGACTACATCCAGACGGAATTTCCCATTACGGCCATTGCCATGTCAGAGGCTGGAAACGAGGTCTACACGGGAGGCATCGACAATGACATCAAAGTCTGGGACTTGCGCAAAAAATCGGTCGTGTACTCGATGCTGGGACACCAAGATACGATCACCTCCCTCAGAGTCTCTCCGGACTCGCAATCTTTGCTTTCATATGCCATGGACTCCACAGTGAGGACATGGGACATTCGGCCATTTGCCCCGACCGATAGAGCCATCAGAACGTTCGACGGCGCGTCCATGGGCCTGGAGAAGAACCTCATCAAGGCTAGCTGGGATTCCGAAGGCAAGAAGGTGGCTGTCGGGTCCGGAGACGGTACTGCGACTATCTGGTCTAGTGAGACTGGAAAGCTCCTGTACAAGCTTCCGGGTCATAAGGGAACCGTCAACTGTGTCGAGTTCGCGCCCGGAACGGAGCCCATCGGTGAGCATTATCTCTTTTCGCGATACAATTGACGTTGGGCTAACAAATTGTGATAGTACTTTCCGCGTCGTCTGATCGGAATATGCTACTGGGGGAGCTGCGGTGAAATAAACCACCACCAGTGGGCTTTCTCCATGCTAGCCACATCGTCAACGCCTAGTCCGCGTCTTCTGATGTTGCACCAACTCAATATTCTGCCTGCATGCTCTCGGTGCGGACTGTGCGGTGCATATGCGGCGCAGAGACGCTCTACGGATATACAATCCATGTATTATCGCATCACAAGCAAGCCAGGAACGTTTGGTCCTAGCAACTCATACCAAGCCCTGGTAAGTGCCATCTGCGAAGGCACATCATCCCAGTATGGCAGCAGGGGGGCATAAACGGGACACGAGCATGAGTTTCCGGTGTTGATCATGGCAGAATCTCGTGAACACTGGATTAGATCAGATAACGCAAACGCGGGCAGACATATTCGGGAACTGCCGGTTGGAATTGTAGGAAAATGCCGATACCGGCGGCTGCCAGCTGCATATGGCTTACGCAGGGAGTTTGGGCGAGGCGTGTTTGTTCGCGAGTAACACGGCCTAGAAATGCTCATCCGATGTGTCTTCGTTTTGTCTCATAAGGGCAACCTTGAGACAAGATCGCGTGGTTCGATTCACAGGAAATACCAAGTTAGCACCGTAGCTTCAATAAGGAGTAATTCGGCTTGCAGAGGCATGGTCCCCAATTGAATGACTCTTGTAATGAGATGATGTCACGGGCATGTCCAGCTAGCTAGGCTGCCCACAGCCATATGTCCAGCAAGGGCCATGGGCCCCGTGTTTCCTCCTTGGATCGTGTGGTGCGCGGCCGTGATGCGGAAGTTTCTGGGACGTTGAACTCTATCGGCTTCTAGAGAGATTAGAAACGCAGCTCGGAGGTCGGAACATTGCGCAATCTGACGGACCGAGTGCGAATCAAGCAGTAGAAAAGAGAAAGAGTACAGCTGTTGAATGCAGTGACTTTGGACGGTGACGCGGAGGGGCGTCGGCTCCGAATGGTCAAGTGTCCCAGCTTGTGTGTCTCGATTCAATTGGGCGGCACACCGCGAAACCTTCTCTAGCTGTCACACGTGTACTCACGGCAGCTAATATCCATAGAGGCAAAACCGTACGCTGAGGTAATGGCACACGAGAAAGACGCCAACAACGGCTCACCGTGACAATGTGTGATGGATGCAATCTTGTTGTCAAGACCTATGTCCGCGTAGTAACCGTACACAATCAAATGGAAGGCTGCTGCTCTCCCATTTGAACCATGGATGTTTTCTATTAGAAGATATCTGATTACAAGTGGAGGTTCGAGGCGATATAACCCCCACATTAGCGCAAGAGGCATGGGTTTTCATTACTGCGTAGGAGTACTCCGTGCTACGTAGATACCAGGGTTCATCACAGGAGTTTGACCACGGGAACCATCTAAATCCAAACGAGACGAATGATCCGCAAAGGACGCTAAGCTGAGGCGCGAAAGACTGCTATTCTTGCCGCCAATGTCACCTACAGTTGCCATTCACAGATATTCGTGCACACGGAGGTACGGATCTTTGGAGGCAAAGCAGTTGGAAAGACAAAATGGCAGACGTGAAGTGAAGTTGGGGGGAGACTCAAAACGCCAACCGCCAAACGCCAAACGCCGGCCCAAACCATGGGGGGGCCTGGGTTGGCGTCCCCTTCTTCAAGACAAGCAGAGACTCCAATGAGAGAACCCCTTTCCGCGCGCCCTGATGGGCCTAGTCCAATTAAGGGTTGGCGCGCGTCGACACAAGAATCCGAAACACGTTTCTATCTCCAGCCGGGCCCCCTGAGCCCTTCCTGATTCGGTACGTACTCTACGGAGTGCCCAGGGCAGGTCCCACGCGCTGTGCGGAGGGTTGTGAAGTTGTGACGGTGTCCGAGGAGGTCAACTCTTTCGCCTCATACGATTGGTTCCCAAGTTTCCAGAAGCAACCCCCTCGACTGCTGTGCAACACTCCAATTGTCAGAGAAGTCAATAATCGATGGGTGAACCCGACCCGTCCAGCACTGCTACATCTGCGCCGAGTCTTCAAGAGCTCAGACTGCGAGCATCCGTAGGTCTGCGAGTGTCTGGAGAGAGAGGAAGACGGAGAGAGGTTTTCCTGCATTATCCTTGCCGTCCTCGATTCAGTTTCATTGCATACGAAGTGCCTTCCTTTCCTCACCTTACGAGTACACTCTCATCCATCCCATCTCATCTCTCTGTATCCATACTCCGTGTGTATGGAGGTACCAAGTACACTCACTAATGAATCGCCCACAACAAAGTCTGGGCCAAGCCAAGACTACCTTGCGGCTGTCGTATGTAGGTAGGATGCAAGGGTCTAAATGCAGATATTGTGTAGGCGTTACGACCTGTTCACATCCTCGATGCTGCAGATCCTGCGCGTTTCCTCCCCCAATCCCCCCTCTCCCTCGTCAGATCCTACTCTCGTCCTGCCCTCTCAAACACCCCTATCCCGTCCGCTTGCTCCCCCTTCCAGGTTCTCCAGAGTCGCAAGTCGCAGAATCCCTCGTATGCTGGGATGAGACTGGCGTGGCGTCTGCTTGACCAACTTCGCCGCTTTCTTTTCTTGTCCTGTCCAATGCCGCCGTACACTGATCCCCAAACGACACACATCTAGACCAACCGCATGTTGCAGACGCCAGACTCGTTAGCCCATCGACGCCTCCTTACCTCTCATATTTGGCTTGACATTGCATACACCATCCCTCGCATTGCCTAGCCCTGCCTTGGACCGAACTGCTGGCTGAGGTCGCCGGCGGACCACGAAGAGGACGCTCGGAAACAACGCCTGCCACCCTGTACCTTGGTTCCTGTTGGCCCATCGTAACTTGCTCCCTTCTTTTATCAGTCCCTCTGTGATCTGTTCCTCTTTCTTCACCATACCACATCGCGCCCAGCGTCATGTTGGCGCCAGCTGCCTTTTTGGCATTGTCCTCATCTTCTGCTTCTTGCTAGCCCGCCTGGCGTCTTCGCCCTCATTGTCAGATTAGTTCATTCTCCTTATTCTTCCTCCTCCTTAAGTCACGCTGTCTGTAGACCGTCGCTTGTTCTCTTAGCTCCGGGAGCTACATTACCTAGCCAACGTTACCCTTCTTGATACCCTCTTCCCCAAACTGTGCTCCTGCGAACGCGAGTATCAGCCTTCCGTCGACCACGCAAGGCGCCCCTTTTCATCCCTTGGGACTTCTTTTATCAACAAGGCGCCGTTAACTCATCGACTACCATCATTGGTGTTTTGCGGCCGTTTTCCACCCGTTACTTTCAGCTCGCCACTGCCGCACTAGGAGACAAGATAGCCTTTGTTCTTCCTGTCGCGGCTGACTCGATTCCTTTGTGCAACTGGCCAACAGGGGAACCTCGCCGTTGCGTTCTGCGCCTCCAACGCCATTGACGACTGCCGCTGGACGACGACGAAACACTCGACGACTGCTCACCTTGACTAAGCCAACATATACACCGAAGAATGCGAGGAACTTGAACGGTGATAACTCCAGCTCATCTGCCAACTCTCAACGGCAAAGCGTCTGGCATACAACTCAACTTACTCGCCATGGATTTTCTTAGGCGAGGACGTTCCTCGCAGGGGGAGGATATCGAGCAGCAGGCTCTGGCAGGGCCATCTACACAACCAGAAATGGAAGAGGGCTCACGGCCTCGGTCGCGGCGCTTGCCTGGCACAAGGCCTTCCCTCTCTTCACGGAGGCGTCCCGGCAACGGGATGCAAAGGCTAGGAGATGAGGAATCCGACAGCCCGAAAACACCACGGTTTAACATTGGCCTCCCGACACTGCCAGGAACCCGTCTGAACCTGCCACACCTCGCAAGAACATGGACCAGCGATTCCAATGGCGCCGATTCGTGGCCCAATTCGACATCGCAACAACCCCTAAACCGAGTCGACGAGTCTTCTTCCCCCGAACCGCCCACGACAAGCAGAGTCGGACAACCATCAGCTACGACTCGCGTGACAATGCCAGCGCCTGTCGCACGGCGCCCCGAAACCGAAACCTCCAGCGGGACGAGGAGGTTCACAGGGCCAGATCCTGCAGAGATGCATTTGGCGAACATGGCACAAGAAGGTCGGCGGCGCAGACGACGGGCACATCGTCGACAGCAACAGGACAGCAACAACGAGGGCCATCCTAAACGATTTCTTCTCTGTATTCCATGGCCAAAATCACGGCGTATGCGATCTCAGATCCTCCGCTGCTTCATTTCAGGCGGGTTCCTGACGCTCCTTCTCGCCGTCTGTAAGTGGTGCCCAAGCCCAGCTTATGGGAATTGTTTGGCGTAATATTATCAGAGACTAACCACTTGAATAGATTTAGCACTCTCCCTCACACAAAATATTCGCAGTAGCGAGTTCACTGTGTTGTTGATTCTCATTATTTTGTTCGTCACGATATTCTTCTGTCACGGCTTGATCCGGTTATGCATGCTTGTCATCCGACCGCGGGTCGACGATGAGACCAGGCCGCCAATGCCGCAACTTTTGGCACCCGGTGGCTACGCTGTACCACGAGAACCAATCCGAGTTGTGCTGGCGCGCGATGAAGAGGAGCAAGGAGAGGTCAGCGAGGCGGTCCTGGCCAAGCCCCCAGCCTACGGCCTCTGGCGAGAGAGTGTGGTATGTAATACTTATAAGTGTGGTACTACACGTGAGGAAGTTTTTTGGACTGACAAGTTGCATTCAGAGAGTTGACCCCAACCGCATCTACTGGCAGCGCAACCCGAACGCCGCGCCGAACGAGGGAACATCCAGTCGCGGAGAAAGCAGCACTGGCCCTCGGCCCCCATCATACGCATCAGAGGACGGGGTGAGCTATGTCGTGGAAGCTCGACCCCGATCCATGGCCCCGGCAGCAATGACTGACGTACTTACCCCACTACCTACACATCCTTCCGAACGGGGGCGAATGGGTGAACACAGGAGTGCATGGTAAACATGTAAACGGGGATCGACCTGCCACGGTCATGACAAGAGAGAAGAAAGGAAAAGAAAAGGGCTCGCACTCCTTGAGCACAGAGAAGGGGCTTGTTTATTATATTATATGATTTTGGCGGCGTAGGCGCTGGCGGTATTTGTGAGAGCATTGAGAAGTCGAAGTACTATTTTCCAACTTGAGGATCTGGCACAGAAGGCAGCACAAGCAGAAGCAGAAGCCATGACGTGCGGTACTTTGGAATTGCCGCGGTATGGTGATGTTCGTACTGGGGGCCACAATATCATGTTTGGCAATTCAAGAGGTAAGTACGAAAGTGTAATATAAGAGAAAAGACATGACACGAGCGATTTCGGATGGAGAACCACGTAGAATACATCTACGAGAAGGGTATAAAAAGACTGATGACTGCACAGTACACTTTCTTGCATGTTGTTCAGCATGACGACTGGTAGCTGCGGGGTGTTCTGCGAGAGTGGTTCCACAGCATGGCTGGGCTTACGTTTACCCCGGACGATCTGGCCTGGCGGCTCTGCAGAAGATGATTGATCTCAACTCCCAAGCGGGAAAAGGGTATTACGGCCTTTCGGTGCGGAAATACAGCAGTGCGCTTAGTACGGGTGGTATTCTGCGGCTGCACGAACTGTGTCAGACCAAGTTCTGCATCCCGTCCTGCAGAATCAACGAGGCAGTAGCAAATTCGTCGCGGTAGCCCATACGTAAAGCTGCATTCTACCTATGTGCTGCATGCTCATCGCAGCTTCTGGCTTCCCAGGCGGAAGAATCAGATACCTGAAAACCTGTCTGTGAGCAAGCGGAAATAGCTGTCCGTGGTCACCTACCGGGCTGCGTTGCGCAAGCTCAGAATCTCGAGAATGCAGGTGTCCACAGAGCTATTCCCATTGCAAATTCCTGCCTTTCGACCCTGCAAGCCACTTGCAAGTGAGCCTCGGACCTGTGGCCAGGGGGATTAGGGCGGGGAATTGATGTTGAGACATGTCCAAGTGTCACGACACACGGACAATGACCGGGTCAGGAACCGCCACATGGACGCCATGAGGACTGGGGTTGATACATATCTTTTTCAGTCTGGTTCTCTTTGCTTGGGCGGCACATTCAGGTGGGCATGCACTGTGAGGGCTTTTGACCCCGTTGGCCGGATGACTGTTCCAAGTTTGCTCAAGTGTCTTCTCTTAGCGCGCGGATTTACGAGGCCTGGACTGAGAGGCAAGTGCCAACAGAAGAGGACTAGCACGTGGAGAGGTGGCTAAGGTCCTCCTACATGGTGAAGTTGATAGTGAGATAGGCGCTGTTGTACGGATACTGTAGAAGAGGATGTTTGTGCGCTCGTGTTTGTTCTGTGCTTTGATCCAGAGGTTGCGAACATGGACCTCTAGTTCGTCAGGAGTCGAGTGTCCGCACTCCGTAACTACCGAGTGGTTACGTGAGACTGGCTGGTCAACTTCGTCGCTAGACGAGAGATGTAACGCAGAGTTGGGTGAGCACGTGGTGAGGTTGTTCAGGGTGAGGGCAAGGTTTGTGAGAAGGACAACATGAAACTTACCTCGCGCTTCCAATTTTGGCAAGGTCTGGCGCAGCGGAAGACGAGCTGAGTAGGACAAGTTTGAACTTTGTTTGATAATACAGGCTGTCTTTATTGGACTGGATGTGGCGTATCAAGTTGACCCTGGTGAACGATGGACAGTGAGGATGAGGAGAATCCGTCGCTCGGTAGAGTGAGAACGAGGTGAGTTGGAGCTTGGACGGGGTGAAGAGTCGAGACTCGCGTCAAGAGAGTCTCGCCAACAGATGACTACTTACCAGGAGTAGGGGCCTTGGCTAAAGAGTGACTTGTCGGGGCATCGTTGTGATACCTGGCCCGAGCGGCGAGGGGAACTTGTTTGTCCCCGCCCTCCACTTTTGACGATTCTTGGTCGATGGCTTTACATAGGTAGTCTTGACACTTGAGTGTTGAGTCTAGACATGGTGATAAGCAACTGCCCTCGTGGTCCGCGCCCGTCCTCTCAAGGTCTGTGCCGAATGTGAGGCAGACTGACAGAATCCTGATCGTATGGGCTTCGAACTCTTTCATCAATTCCGTCGTTTGTGTACATGTTTCTCTTGTCTCCTGCTCTCAAATGTGAGTTGATACCCATGGAAGAACTTCCACCCACATGAGCTTGAAAGCTTGGGGTGAGTATCAAAAAGGGGTTTGGGCCTTCTTTGCTTTTGGTTCTTGGGAAGGGAATGTAGGTATCGAATCATGGACAGGAAAGCATCCGTCATTGGCGGATGTGGGATGTGGGAGGAGCAGCGGGTGACTGAATCTGCAGGTGCAGGGCAAGCCGCAAATGCAAGGGATGCAGTTTTAAGCGGGTGCGTATCAAGCGCAAGTGCAACTCTTCCAAGTTCCATGGGCTAGGTAGGTAGGTATGGCATCGTGAGGTACAAGGTTTCCAAATGTCCGCAACGAGAGAACCGGACTCGGAAGTCCAATTGACCAGTTGATACCATCTCAGATCGAGTTCCACTTTTCAGGTGTGCGCTCTGTGGCTATCGGCCAGCGGGAAGGTAGTGGGCAAAGGGAAGTCGTGATGGCTCTCAGAGTCCCAGCCCACGTTGAGAATGTCATGGCCTCCAACAAGAGCCAGGAGACAGAGCTGAGTGATTTGGTTGGATTGGTGCAAACGCGCTACGCCGATTCGAGGTAGACGTCCCACACGCACCTTTCCTTGTCTCCTGCCACACGCGCTTCTCCAACCCAGTCAAACCCAGCCCATCACGCTCAGAGCACCTCAATCCAGCCAGCCCAGTCCCGTCCTTTCCTTTCTCGTCAAGTTCAGGAAGGGGTTTGCTTGGTTGTGGTGTACATGGAGGTTCCCCCTCTCAACGCTACCTAACCTTCCCATGAGGGGAAGGGGTTAGAAAAGCAGTCACTGACTGTTGGCGTCAAGTCCCTCGGAAAGAAAAAGAAGAAGGAGAAGAAAGTGCCAGGTACCGAGGGCAGTTGGAGAGCAGTTGAAGTAGCAGGAAGAGGCCGTGGGCGAGAAGCAGGGAAAGAGGCGGAGAAGGCGGAGGAAGTAGGTAGACTTCACCAAACAAGGTGTGATGGATGTGGCCATCCTCTTTTGGATGTCTTGTTTCCTTGTCATGTACCCCCTTCCTTCTAAGGTAGCCTCCCGGTCTTGTGTAGATGCCATTTCTCACGCACTGGCACCAAAAGAACCTTGTTCCGACTCGCCCTCATTCTGTGTGGTGTTTTGAAAATTTTTCGCCAGCGTCAAGTCCGATGATCTTGTGAGCCAAAGTCTACCTTCAGGTAAGGCAGGTCGTCAACTGAGGTGCCACCTGCCTTGCTTAAGGACATTCCATTCGATTCTACCTTATGTAGGTACCTTACCTGAGGGAAGGTAAGGTGTTGAAGGGTGATGGAAGGTACCATCATGGGGAGGAAGGAAGTAATACCGTATCTGTATCCGTACCTACCTAACTTAGTATCTGTACCCTACCAAGTAGAACCTAAGCGGTTGCAAGAGAAATATAATTCGGAAGCACGTTTCCTCGCCTCCGTCCTCCGTTTCCCACCTTACCTTACCTCACTTCCAAGTTCCAGGTCCATCCAACCTATTCGTTCCAGTCCCAGTCCCACCTCAGTCAGGTCCCAGTCCCCGGTTCCATTCAACCTGAACCCATCCCCGCTAATACTCCTCCTACTCCTACTCCGTACCTTACCGCGAGTGCCTTACCTCACTCCATTCTCACCTGGCCACTTGCGCTTACCTCTTCCTCCCAACTACTAGACCCCTCCTCCTCCTTCACAAATTATTATTTCCCCCCTTCCCGCATAGTCAACCGCATTTTCTCTTCGAAACAAACTCGACGTCCCCGATTTTCTCAAAGGCAATTTTTCGCGAAAAGGTGAGTTTCGCCCTCGACCCTTCGTTCCTGCATTTTGCGTCTTGTCCGCACAATTCCCATTCGCTCTCGCCCGCCTACCGGTACTTTACCATACCTTACCTTACCTTTACCCCTCTGTCCTTCTACCCGGCCCTCCCCCCTCGTCCTCTGCTCCCTGCTGCCATGTGGTGGTGCCGTGACGTTTCTTCGCCTTGCCGTCGCATCAAGTGCATGCGACGACGCACCCGAAAGCCCAGCCCATCACGGTAGCGAGTAAGAGGAACAAGTAGCAAGCAGCAGCAGCGACGGCGGCCGCCGTTTCTCTAGTCTATCCGCACCGTCAGCATCAATATTTGCATCAGTATCAGCACCAGTATCAGCGTCGGCATCGGCATCAGCATTCGGCCCACACTTCTCGACTTGCATCGCATCGCATCGCAACGCAACACAATTAATTCGGCGAGCGCAAACTACAACATCCGGCTTCCCATCTACTTCGATTCAGATATGGAATCCAGATCGTCATTGCTCTGTAGTCGGACTCGTTTGCGCAACGCGACCGGCTTCGATGATGCGCCAACCCCGCCTATTGTTGGCCTGGTCGCAATTCCGCACATATGCGCCGAGTTTCGCGCGTCGCAGTCGTGTGCCCTACCGCGAACACAATGCAGCGATCCAATTTAGCCCACCATTCCCAAATCCAACCGCAGCCGCGTCGGCCTGCCGCATGCCACATCGACCCGGTAATCGATTCTCGGCTCTCCGTCAGTGTTGAATCCGGAGTCGCACAATTGCGCCGTCTCGCTTGCTATCATCCCCGCTACCCCGGCCCCGCGCTTGCGCTCGAGTCGATGCGCTGCTCTCCCAGAAAGCCCTCGGTGGATCGGCTTGGATAATCCCTCAACTCAACTTCAGCTACTCGCCACCACGCTAATAGATGGATCCGATACTTGGCGGCTCCTGAAATATCTTTCTGCCGAGGAGAAGATCATCAAAAATTGCAATATGCGCACAAAGTTCCGCGCCGGTGTTGAGCTGGAGCACGGCGCTTGCACCTCCGCCTTGGACGCGTCTGATCCTCGCAAATTGGACAGGCGATAATTCGGACTACACTGCGATCTGAAAGCTGCTGCTTGCTGCTGCTGCTTGCGATATTATTTTTTTTTGGATTGCGACTTGGAGCATTGGAGCTTCTGCTGTGCTGCGTCAGAGAGGCTCCGATGAACATTGCGAAGCACTGACCTATAGACTGTTGCTAACACTAAGTCTCAGTCACACAATATCAAAAATGTCTTCCCTCTCTCGTCGTGCCTGCTATAAGTGTGGCAATGTTGGCCACTATGCCGAGGTTTGCTCTTCCGCCGAGCGCCTCTGCTACAACTGTGAGTCACTTACTCCTCAATTTTTTGCTAGGCATATCATTAACGCCAGGTTGTAGGCAAGCAACCCGGCCACGAGTCCAACGGTTGCCCTTTGCCCCGCACCACCGAGGCTAAGCAGTGCTATCACTGCCAGGGACTCGGCCATGTTCAGGCTGACTGCCCAACCCTGCGTCTGAGCGGCGCTGGCACCAGTGGCCGCTGCTACAACTGCGGACAGCCCGGTCATCTTGCGGTAAGAAACTCCAGCTTTTAGAGACCAATGCCCAGGTTATTAATGTTTGAGCAGCGCGCGTGCCCCAACCCCGCCGGCGTCAACATGGGCCGAGGTGGCCCCCCGGTTCCCCGTGGCGGATACGGCGGCTACGGCCGTGGTGCCTTCACCGGTGGTCCTCGTCCTGCTACCTGCTACAAGTGCGGTGGTCCCAACCACTTTGCGAGAGACTGCCAGGCTCAGGCCATGAAGTGCTATGCTTGCGGCAAGCTTGGCCACATCTCTCGTGACTGCACCGCTCCCAACGGTGGTCCCCTCAACACTGCTGGCAAGACTTGCTACCAGTGCGGCGAGGCCGGTCACATCTCCCGCGATTGCCCCCAGAAGAACACCAACGGCGAAATCCCCAACGACGTTGATCTGTCGGCTGCCCCTGGCATCCCTCAGCCCGCTGTTGCGCCCATTGCCCCCGTTGCTTAGACGGCGATCTCTGGACATGTTCTCTTGAGGACGTTGCGACTTCTTGGGCTAGGCCTGAGGATAGAGGCAGGCTTGCCTTGATGCAGCTTCCCTCAAAAAAACCTTTGTGGCATTCCTTCAGCGATGTCGCTTTCATTTATCTGCAATACGACCAATCATTACGCCTTTTGAACATCACCGCAACTACAACTTCCACCTTTCATTCTGGTTATTATTTCAATCTATGCATAAAATGGGCATGCCGCCAAATGGCATACTTTGCTTTTACATGGCGTCTACACGGATTCCCCTTCATCAACACGATTCATTTTCTGGAACAAAACGGGAAAGGCTTCCTTTCTTCATAGCAAACGACTCTCACGACGGATGGTCTCAAGCACGTTTGAATGCATCTTATCCAGCGCAGTTGGAAACAAAAGTTCACGACCCATATAGCCATCTTATGGAGGATCTTGGCTCGACAATGCTGCTTCTGGTTCAATATTCCAACAACGAGGCGACTCTGTTTCCGGTGTCTGTTCCTTAACTCGCAACTGGACTCAGGCATACGGCAGCAAGGGGAGCATTCTACAGAACGACGGTTTCAGGGTCGTTCGCGGCCCAGAATCTTCACTACCCCTGTGCTCGGCAGTGGGCATAAGTGGACAGCTAAAGCTGGCCATGGGCTGCACTGTTGACCCAGCATACCGGGGTCGGGAAGATCCGTAGGATGGAAGATGGGGCTCGGGGAAGGGGATGAGAGATATCCAAGTATCTTATGAAGAAGAAGAGTTTTGGGGCGGTGGAAGTGGTTGTTGAGTAGAAGATCCCTTTGAAGGGAGGAATGGTGAGCACCCCGGCAAAGCTGTTGTGGCGTGACGCACAAAAAAAAGAAGCTGTTGTTGTCTGAGTTGTCCGAGTCTCTTCTGGGGTAGGGCGTGCCGCAGTTGTGATGGGTGATCTGAACCGGGTGATGCTATACAGGGGATTCTGTAGGACAGTGGGCATTGGGCTGCCTACAGGAACGACTTTGAGGCTCCAGGACTACAGGAACAGGATACGCCAGCTCTGCTACGACTAACGACGAATGATTTTATTGCGGAGTTTACAAATACTCGGCTTTCAGTAGATACAGCAGAATCGTAGAACGACTCTGGGGATACTCCAAGGCCAAGGATTAGGCCTGGCATAGACGGCACCTGTATGAGAAGATGCGGAGCTGTGGTCCAGCTGAAGAACACCAGGCAAGTCAGCGTTTCGCAGAGCACCTAATCACATGCAGTCAGGCTTGACCATGTGATGGATGAGGTGATGATACACCGTAATGCGACTGCGTGAGGTCATGAGTAGGCACCAGTGCACACGGAGTTGAGTGGGTACGAACGGCACGCCGAAAGCTATGGCCATCGGTCCCGGAATCCTTTCGAGGAAAGTGTAACCGGACGTCGGTGTTCGTCTCGTCTTCTTCGTCATGCCGGTAGAGTCGGCAGGCTATTCTACGCGTAGACGTGCGTATTCCACCATCCATGTGTCTGACTGAGTGAGGCTACCGGATCACCTGTACCGCAACAGGCTACGCTTAATTGTGCACACTGCGGATGCCGGTGTCGAAAGTCGGCCAGCCTTAATGTCATCAATAAGTACGATGCTGAATACCAGGGCACGGCCGTGGTGTCCAAGCGGGGTAGAATAACGGCTAGCCCCAGCCTGCCTCCCAAGCGCTGACTTTTGCAATGCAGCCAACGTATGAGAGGGGTGGACTTGCATGCTGCAGTCTGCATTACCACGCCATCTCAAGTAAGAAAACTGCCGTCATGCTCGAGTTGCAGCCTGATAGGTATCCACGTCTACCTATCTTGGCCTGTCCATCTTCCATCCGCCTCATTCTGCCTGGGGGACTATGTCACGAGGGTCGCACACAAACATGTTGTAAGACTATAGATGCTTTCCGTACGGCTGGGTCATCCGATGGTCAACATCGCCCAACTCAGAACTTCTCCCAACGTCGATGCAGCAGGCTGCAGAGCCTCATTCCACAAGCTAAACGTCGGGAACAGCCTAAGCTGGATAAATAAGTCACCGCTCGCGGCATGGGCCTGCTGCTGAAAGTTAGCCACCGTATGCTGTTCCTCTCCGCCACCCTCGGCCTGACCTTGACCCACGTAGACGGTCTTCGTGGGTTGTTTCTCTCCTACCTCAACCCCATTGGAGCTGGGCAGGTAAACTTGCTCACGTTCGAAACTTCCGTGAGTTGAAGCCGCACTTTACAGGAAAGCATAAGCCGAGCACCTCAGCTGAGACTGCTACCTCTGACCAGCTGAACAAGTGTCGGCAAGCGCAAAAACGTTGCAATCATCTACTTTGACTCCAAGGCAACTGCCAAAGAGATCGACCCCGAAGACGTAATGGCATCCACTGTATTATCGAGCTCCAGCTCGAGCTCCGACGAGATTGTACCGTCGTCTGTGATCCCCCACCCGCGCCGCCGAGCATACTTAGCCACCATGCCTGTAACCGTCACGAAACCCCGAAAGACGAAGCAACAGCCTCCTCAGGAGATCATTGACGAATTCTGGACAAAGTTTACGACCAAGACTCCAGGAAAAGGTCGGTCGCATCCTTGATATGGAGAATCGCCTTGGACATCAACGTGAGACTGACTTGATTGTGTTTGATGCCAATAGCTACCACCGTCATTCCTCAGAATGCATACGCTGAGAGGGTCGCGAAGCGTTCTTCCAAAGCCACTGGGATCTTCACTCAGACGTCGTACGATGAGGCTGCGACTGTCTGCAAAGCCAAGGTCGACAAGATTGTTCACGAGTGTCGCCGAGTCAATCAACGTTACAGAGATCCTCACTATGATATCGAGTTTGATCTCAAGTTTGGGCGCAGAGACTGCCTCGAAACCTTATGGAATACCAAGGACGCGAAACCTCCGCAGTCCGCTTTCCAGCCCAAAGCCGTCAAGCGAGTGGTCGATATCTTCGACAACCCGCAATTCTACATTGACGGGCCTACGGCGGACGATGTGCGCCAAGGTCGAGATGGAGACTGTTGGCTCATGGCTGCGCTGTGCAATCTGAGTAACAAGCCTGGCCTGATCGAGAAAGTCTGCGTTGCACATAATCTTGAAGTCGGCGTGTATGGTTTTGTCTTCCATCGCGATGGAGAGTGGTTCAGCGAGATCATCGATGACAAGGTATGCTCCATTGCCCCTCTGACAGTCTAGTTGGGGAAACCTTGGACGAGAAGTCCGAGAAGACCCCACAAAGTCTTGAGGCCCTTTCTAACCGGCTACATAGCTGTACCTTACCAAGCCCGACTATGACGAGCCCTACTTGGAGCGAATTCTCTGGGAAGATCGCGAGCGCATCAATTCAGAAGAAGCCTATAGGCGTATTTATCAGTCAAACAGTGGCGCGCTTTACTTTGCTCAGTGTGAGAATCCCAACGAGACATGGCTGCCGCTTCTCGAAAAGGCGTACGCAAAGGCGCACGGAGACTATGCCTCCATCGAAGGTGGTTTCACGGGCGAGGCCATCGAGGACCTTACGGGTGGCGTAACCTCAGAGGTCTACACAACAGACATCCTTGACAAGGAGTACTTCTGGAAAGAGAAACTCCTAAAGGTCAACGAAGACTGGCTTCTGGGGTGCTCCACTGGGTTTGCATCAAGGGGTCTAGGGGAACGTAAAGGCATTATCGAGATGCACGCCTACAGCGTCATGAAGGCTGTCGAAATGGATGGCCAAAGGCTGGTTCTACTGAAGAATCCCTGGGGAAAGGGTGAATGGAAAGGAGCTTGGAGTGAGTTCCGTCTTCGAGATATAATGTCTTACCGTTCTCGCGCTGACCATTAGCAGGCGATGGCTCCAAAGAATGGACCCCTGAGTGGTTGCAGAAACTCAAACATACGTTTGGCGACGACGGCGCCTTCTGGATTTCGTACCACGATCTCCTCAAAAAATACAACATATTTGATGTTACCCGGTTATTCGGTCCCGAGTGGAAGGTTACATCCATTTGGACAACACTATCAGTGCCATGGACCCTGGACTACCACGAAACGTATTTCGCGTTTACAATCTCCAAGTCGGGCCCGGTTGTGATCGTACTAGCGCAACTAGACGATCGATACTTCCGTGGTTTGGAAGGTCAATACCGGTTTGATTTGCAATTCCGTCTGCACAAAGCCGGCCAAGAGGACTATGTCGTTCGGAGTCAAGCATCCTACCGCATGAACCGATCTGTGAATGTTGAACTCGACCTTCAAGCTGGTAGCTACGAGGTTCTTGTCAAATTAGATGCGGTGCGGAACGATGGCGTACTTCCCATCGACCAAGTGATTCGCAACAATGCCAAAAACCGCCGAGAGAAGCTGATCCGGATAGGGTTGGCCTATGACCTTGCTCATAGCAAGGGAAAACTTGTCGAGTCGGCCGCGGAAAAGGCGGCTAAAGAGGCACATGAGAAGAGACATCGGGAAAAGCGACGTGCCGAGATCAAGCGCAAGATCCTCGAAGAGAGAGAACAGGAGCATTACCTCAGGATCAAAGCCAAGAGAAAGGCTCAGAAACAGCAGGCGAAACGCATCGCACAACACCAGGCAGCGAAAGAGAAGCTACGTGCACATATAAGGCTAGCTAATCCCCTTCCGCCGAAGCAATCTGAGCCGATTCCAAACCCACCAAGCCCTGTGGCCAAAGTCACAATCCAGGAAGCCGAACATGAAACTCTTGAGATTGCAACCAAAAACTTGTCTTTGTCAAACGATTCGCGAGGAGCGGGCAGCCAAACCAATTCAGGTACCATGGCAGGTGAGGACGTGCCGATTTCCCCCCGCCACAAAGACAGAGCGATACCTCAAGTCTTTAAGTCGGCTGAAATGCTGGAACAAATCACCGAGAGAAGCCCGGGATCTTTGACACCTCCGAAACCTACAAACAAGCGTTCCAGAGGCGATAGGCGCGAGGTAGTCAAAGTCAGAAGTGAGGTGCAGGAGGCTACCCTTCAAGATG